GGGGACCACGCGCGACTGGTTAGATCTTGTCGTGATCTCTGGAAAACTGTGACTATCTCACATGGCCTGCCCTGCTCGGGTCCCCTGCGCTAACGAGCCAGGCCCCCCTTGATTGCTGATTTTACGCTTTTTGGACCAATTGTGGGTCTCCGGGGGCGGGGTTTTGACAGCTCGGGCCGAGCTCCGGCCGGGAGGGGGGGGCCGGGAGAAGGTGTCGGAAGCCTCAGCAGTAAGAAAACATGTCAACAGAATAAAATATTAACCAATGACGGGCCGGCGGGCCCGAGACCCCTCCCCCTGCCCTCAGCCCCGCCCGCGCCCGCGGCGGCTGCGCTGGGACCCCGGCGCGCGAGCGCCGGCCTGAGCCGGCGGAGGGCTGGAGGCGGGGGACGCAGGGGTCCCCGGCCTCGGGAAGGATCCTAGCTGCAGCGCCGGCCCCAAGTAGCAAGCATGAACAGGGCCTCAAAGGAGAGGGGGCGCCCTCCCACCCCGCGCCCCAGCCCGGCCTCCGACCCCGCTCCGGCCTCGGCGCTCCGGGGCCCCCGCGCTTGGGCTGAAGGCGGCGGGCGCTGAGGGCGAGGCCGGTGAGCCGGCGAGTCTGCAGGCGCGGACGGCCGAGGCCCCGGACGGAGCCCAGGTGGCCGGAGCCGGTGAGTGGAGGCGCCGCCGTACTGGGGCCGGCGAGCTGGGCGGGGCGCGGGGGACTCGGGACCCCCTAGCGCGCGTCTTCTCCCGCCCCTCAGGCAGACTCGGGAGGAGCTCGGCGTCGCAGGCGGTCCCTGGACTCGACCGAGTGTCGCCCCGCGTTCCCACCGGCTCCCCGAGGCTCCTGAGGCCCGGACAGCGGGTCCCGAGGCTGGGAAGGTGGGCGCGCCTTCTGCGGGACCCGGGCTGTGCGGCGCGGGCGGGCGATGGCAGCCCTGGGCTTCCCGGCCCGCGACTCAACGAATTTTCGCCGCATCCGGTGCCAGGACGCAGATCTCCCTCCATCTCCCCACTAGGATTCTCTCTCCCCCTCCCACCGCTTGTCTAGTTTGTTTCCAGCTCGACAGGCTTGCCTGCTGCGTTCAGTGCTGTGGGTAACCGCGTGGGGGGCCAGGTGTCTGCGCGCACTTGTGGTTGAACACCCTCACCCCATCAGTAGTTGTCCTCAAGCAACCCCGGTATTTTTGCGAATTCTGGGAGTGGGGCGGGGAACGCGTTAGAGTGTGTGTGTGTGTGTGTGTGTGTGTGTGAGAGAGAGAGAGAGAGAGAGAGAGAGAGAGAATATGAGAGAGAGAATGAGACAGAATTTGCATCCGAATGGTGATGGATTAGTGTCCATTCCCTCCACTGCTCAAAGTGGAGCGTCTATACACCTGTCCGCGCACTTAAGGTGTGTATGCACACATCCCTCGGGTGCCTGTCTGTCGCCTTCTGAAGGACAAAACAGACCACACCCTAGACACCGTGACATGCCTGCCTGTACAACGAATCCAAGGGCGGCCGAGTGTTGCTGGCCCGGGCCCTGTGGTTGCGTGGTGGGCGCACACTGCCTGCATCCAGCACTGACCCTGACAGTTTGGCCAGCGCTGCGCACACGGGGGCCACAGGGCACCTAGTCTTCGTTGCTCTTGAATTTAGTTAAGTGCAAGCCTGGCTCTCGCCAGGCGGTGAGAGTTCGAGGCTCACTAGAGTGGTTTGGCCTCTGCAACTTTTCCTTGCTTTTCCTGGCGCCCTTGCAAACACTCCAGCCGCGGAGCTCAAGTGGGCACCGCCCCCCAGGTTTTCTCCACGACCTCGCTCTTGCCTGGGTCTTTCCTCTCAGTAGCACCTTGTCTCCGCCTAGAACGAATCTTCCACTCTGCGCTGTGCGGTCTATGCAGCCGGAGCAGGATCCGTTGCGACTTTGCAAGACAAAGTCCCGCGGGAGGCTGTGGCCCTTTGGGGGAAGAACGTGTGTGGACGCGTTTGCTAAATCGGTGATGCGCCCAGAGAGTAGCCAGGGCAGGCCTCGGAATGCATGAATGCGTTTGCAGAGCGTGTGTGTGTGTGTGTGTGTGTGTGTGTGTGTGTGTGTGTGTGTGTGTGTGTGTGTGTGTGTGTGTGTGTGTGTGTGTGTGTGTGTTTGTCAGAGGTACTTGTCAGGAGGTGTGTACACCAAGTGTATGCATTTTGGACATTTTTCTGGAGAGGGTCTGTGGTTGGTCTTAGGCCTGGATATTCCTGAAGCACCATGACCTGGTTTGTTTGCCCAACGAACCCTCAGGCTGTGACATTTGGGGACTGATTTCACCTAACCAGGGAGAGTCTTAACGGCAGCCGTGGGCCTGAGGGCCCTGTACGGTTCCTAGGTTGTCCCCACTGGACCCCATCTTCTGCCTGTCACCCCGCAAACATCCCGAGGTCCCTATGCAGGCGATCTCAAGATTCTGACTAGACCCGCCAAACTCTTCAGCGAGGGATCTCTTTGGCTCATCGAGACCAGCGCTGGGGAGGCCCAGCTTCGCTCCGGCCCCTCCCCCGCTCGGGCTCCGCCGCCCTCCCCTTTACCCGGAACCTGCGCCCTTGGGGGGCTCCGCCCGGGCCCAGAGTGCGTGTCTCTTTAAGAGGCCCCGGGGGGCGCCTCGCCGGCCGCCCGGGGCTGCAGGGGGAGGGCCTGGGCGGGGGCGGCTGGCGCCAGGAGGCCGAGGCTGCACAACAAAGCTCCGGCCCCTGTCACTTCGCATCGGCCAGGCCGGGCAGACGGGCGGGGGACGCGCGCTCAGCTCCCCCCACGTCCGGGTCGGGGCGTCGGGCGGGCGCGGGCCTGGGGTCCGCCTGCCGCGCGTGCTCAGTCCTGCCCGGCTCTCCACAGCCCCTCGGTCCGGCCTGTGGGGTCGCTGTGCCCAGGCGGGCGGGGCAGCCGTCGGGCATGGGGCCCCTTTACTCCCTGCGCTGCCGCGACCTGGTCCGGGTTGCGCCTGAAGGTCGCTCAAGTCCCGGCCGAATCAGGGTCTGTGCGCCTGGGAGCGAATGGCAGGAGCGCTCGGAGTGCGTGGACGTGGGGCCCAAGGGACGCGCAGCCGGTCGTGGGAGCGAGGCCGGTGCCAGGCGCGCGGCAGTGTGAGCGTGGCCGTGTGTGCCCAGAGCTCGAGTCACGTGTGTGACCTGTGCGTGTGGGGGTGCCACTGGGCGCGTGCGTCCCGCCGGTGCTCGCGTGTGTGGGGTGAGGACACCCCGCGTGCAGACAGTCTCTCCGTCCCAGGCTTCTCCGCCCCTACCCGCGCCTCCCAGAGCCCTGGCGCCATCCGGGCCCCCCCACCCCCCGTTTAGCAGCCGAGCTGGGCTCCCCCGCTGTCCCTGGTCTGGCCGGGGTGGGGGCCGCGGCCTCAGTGACCCCGGCCCGCAGCGGTCCCGGCCGTTTAGACAAATTGCGGCTGACAGGCGCGCAGCCTCTCTGGAGCCGCCGTCGCCTCCCTCCCGCCCCAATTACCCGGTTGCAGGTCCAGCGGGGAAAGGGACCGCGACCCCTTTCCGGCCGCGACGTGGCCCAGGCCGCGCGCCAGCACACTTCCTCCGGGTGGGCTCGGAGCAGCGCCCTCCACCAAGGCCTGTGTGACCCTAGAGTCCAAGGCGAGGGCCAGCCGGACGGGCCGGCCCTCTCAGTGGTGGCCTAGACCGGAGGCCAAGGTCGCGCGGTCGAGAACCCACACCACGTCCCAGCTGGCCATTGGACAACTTCCCATAGTCTTGGGGACCCTGTAACCTCCAGGAATTGCGTATTGTTTGTTGTTCTGGGGCCCAGGTTTAGTGCACGAATGAAAGTGAGGCGGTGTATGTGCGCGTGGACAGGATCGGGGTGCGGGTGCCATGACCTCGGAGCATGAATGGGGCACGCGGGTGCATAGCCTGAAAGCGGGGCCCCAGAGCAGCCCACCTGCCAGCGAGGGGCGGGGCCGGCCCGCTAGCGCGCACCACCTCCTGATTCGCTTATAGAAACATTTTTATAGCGAGTGAAGAACCCCCGGATTGGTGTGGGGCACCTTGCCACAATCCAGACTCTCGCTGGGCCGCACCCGAGTTCACTCTCCCCACCCAGGAGCCACTGTGCCTTCTGTGCCTCCTGCTACCCTTTAACCTCTGACCTGCAGCTTCCCCTTTGCACTTTGGCTCCTCCCTGTAGGGGGTGTTTCTTTACAGATTCAACCACTGCAGCCCAGAGGGGCAGCAGCACCCAGAGCCACATGACTACCCTTGGCAGAGTTGGGATGGGGACCCTCCCCACCAAACTTTAAAGAGAGTAATTCCCAATCCATTCCTTAGAAGGCGGAGATAAGGCAGTCAAGCCCCAGCTCATTCAGCAAGGCATTAATGAGAACATGTCTAGCAACTCCTCTGTGCTCCTTCAGGCTTTGAATATAAGACATCCAGATGCCCTCCAGGGCCTTTCCTTTGCCCCCTTTTTCAGTTCTAGGTCTGCAGGAGGGGACTGCTATCCCATTCCCAGGCACAGAGAACAGCTTCAAAGTCAGTGAGGAGACCCAATTGGAGGTCAGGAGGTGAAATGAGTGGGATCAGAATCAGAGTTGTGTTGGGAGCCCAGGCCAACAAAAGTTAGCTCAGCAGTGACGGGGCAGGGAAGCTGCTCTGGATGCAGATGAGGAGTCTGTAGATGGTGTGACTTTATAGCCTTAGGCTTTCCATCTACAAACGTGTAACAGTACTGACTTTGGAAACTTCTAGCTGAGGGAATCTCTTGTTCTATGAAAACCAGGGCTTTGAACTGGCTCATTCTGGTTCAAAATCCTGCTGAGAATTTGCATTTCTACTCTGATATACTGAATCAGAACATGTTTTGAGGAGATTGGAGATTCTGATTCAGTTTATCTGGGATGTAAAGGCAAACTCTTAAGTTGAAGTGGAATGAACTGGGTTGAACATGGTGAAACTCAGCAAATGAGCAGGAGACACCGTCTCCCGTCCCAGGCCAGCAGCCCTTTGGCTTGCTTGCTTCTAGAGGAGTTGGCAATGGATGGGGCATTTATCAGAGTTTGTTGCCTTCATCTGCCTTGGGGCCACTGGCCTTTTCTCAAATCAATGGTCCTCCTCCTTGAGTTGGCTCTTTAGGTTTCCTTCACCTCCCTGCAGACCATGAAAAACAGGTTTTCTCTGAGAATTACGAGGGAATCCATAGCAATTTGCCCATTTAGCAGACAGTCCTGTGAGAATCAGCAAGGTCATGTGGCTCCTTATGGTCACCTGATAGAACCACAGTTAGATTCATGTTTTGATGGCCTCCTAGGTGCTGCCCTCATGGCAGTCTGCAGGGGTTGCCGGGGGAGATGGAGATTGCTCTGGAGGTTATCTGTAGAGGACAGCAGGCTGGCTGCTCCAGGGCCCTGAGCAGTAAGGTCCCCCACCCCAGCTTTTACTTCCAGCTGATTAGAAGCAAGGTCCATACCTCTCCAATTAGCAAGGGGCCAGGCCCAAGGCCTCCCTGATAACCCCAGCTCTAGTGGCAGCCACCATGGGGCCAGCTTATCTGGCCTCTCTTATCCTTCCCCTTCCCCCACATACTCAAAAAGAGTTGCCCTGGCTGTGAGCAGATGAATAACCAGATTGTCCTGCAAGCTCAGCCGGGAGTCCAGCCTTACACCCACCACTTTCCCTGACTGGAGGCAGCCACAGCTGTTTTGCCCCCCTCCCCCCACCCCTGGAAGGAAAGGACTGGGCCAGGCAGGACTCCTGACTCCAAGCTGCCAGCTGCTTCCCTTGTAGCTGCAAAGAGCTCCTGACAGGAAGGCCTTTGCCCCATCATGTGCCCTAGGGTGTTTTGAGAGCTTAGCCTTCCTAGAGCCCTGGACTCAGCCCCAGGAGTTGGACCGGGTAGCATGGTATTGCCCTCCCTAGACCCCCTTTCAACCGTAACACTGCTCTGCTAGGAGTGGGGGCCAAGGCAGTCCTGCCAATGTCTCCAGTTCAGCTAAAATGAGGAAAAGCTGCAACTCCTCTAGCTGACCCAACCGGCTGTGCCCAGGCCTCTCCAGACTCCCTCACTCTGCCATGTGATTGCTCACCCTGCCAGCTCCCAGGAGGGACTAGTTTAGGCCAGCCTACGCCAGACTGTGGATCCAGCTTACAAAGCCTAGCAGGATGGAGGTTCGTCTTCTCCCAACATGCCCAGCTGATCCATGAAGGCAACTGAAGACTCAAATATCTTCTCAGGTGCCAGGACGGCGTGGGGCGTTTGTGAAGATACAGGCGTTTGTTTCCTCCTTCAGCTGAACAGTGATGGGAAGACTCAATTGTGAACTTGACTCTTGGCTGTTATATTAAATTTCACCCCAAACCATACCTGGCTCAATGGGTTTCCTTTAATCCTCCAAGGACTCCCCAGTGTCTCTCTGGTGGGAAGGGTGGTAGAGTGGGCTTGAGGTGGGGGGAAACATTAGTCTTCTTCTTACTCTCTATACCTGTTCACTACCCAGCTCATGTCACCTTGCTTGAGGTCCAGAATTGGGAGGAATGAAAACAGCACCTCAATATCCAGGTTTCATGAGACTCACCTTCACCTGACCTCCCTACTATCTTCTGGATTTGAAGAGGGGTGGTTCTGTGAGGCTGTGCTTCCACCCAACAAAGCTAGGTCCAGATATGCAGGACACAGAAGTCACTGGCTCTGGTGACAGGGCTGGTGGAGATGGGTTACATCAGGCCCCATACAAACTGCAGAGTAAAACATCTTCCCAATCCTACTCCCTCACCGCCCTCCCACTGCAGGTGGTGGGGCTGGGGCTGTGATCAGGGACACCCAGTCAGGCCCACAGGACTTTGCTCAACCTTGACCTCAGCAACTCAGGATGGACACCAATCGCAGCTTGATTTATTGGACAAGACGTGCACTTTTTTTGACAGGGCCTTAATAACCACAGTCTCCTTCACTGAACAGTACAGAACCAGGGTAAAAGGGCTTGAAGACAAATTCTTCCCATGAACTGAAAGGGGGGAAAAAGGAGAGAGTGGAGGCCTTGCCTTCCTTCCTCCTTCCCTAATACTCCAGGCCTCAGTTCACCTGTCAGGAGGGTTGGTTGGCCAAGGGAAGTGGGGAGGGGGAACGACTGTGTTTCACCACTAGAAGTGGGTTGAGACTGAGGCTGTTCTGGTAAGGTCAAAATGCCCTGCTAGGCCATCTTCCCTCTCCCCACACAGTCCCAAGGGCTGGGCGCTCTCTCAGACCTCCTGTGGGTATGGTTAGAAAATGCAAAATCGGATCCAATGCAGGACGACATGTGCAAATGGAGGAGGGGACTGGGCTTCTGCAGTCTCTCACAGCCACAGCCCAGCTGACAGACAGGTGCTGCAGAGGTCAAAGGCACCAAGGTGCCTAGGAGAAGGGTCTTATCTCCATCCAGGCTTCGTGGATGGCTGTTGGAAGCATGGGGAAGGTGGATGATGAAAGAAGAGTGGAGACTGAAGGGCAGGACCAGAGGGGGGCTTCTCCCCCTTCCTCCAGCAGGTGAGCGGCAGTCCGGTCAGAACCAGGTTGCTGGTACCTACGGGAAGCTGGTGGGGAAGAGGCTGAGGGGCTGGCTCTCATTGGTGGGGAGCGGAGATCGATAGCCATCAAAGTTTCTTGGGATGCTGCCACTGGTGGAACCTGAGCTGTTACTCAGGGTCTCGATGCTTCCCTCTCGCTGCAGTTCTGCAAGACAGGAGAGGGCCAGGTCTGGTCAGAGCGGGGTCTGGAGGCACACCATGGTCAGGCTGCCTGCCTTCAGGCACCAATCTGGTTCCACTTACATCCTTCCGCAGGGGAGATCCCCACCTGCTCCCCACATGGACCAGGTGGCAGCATCACAGGGACACTTAACCAGGGAGGGAGAAGCTCCCTGGGCTGGCAGGTTCGTTTTACACCTTCCCTCACTGTAAGGAATCCCTTTAGGCAGCATAGATGGCAGCAAAGGGCATGGCCTCATGCCTGCATGCTCTCCAGCTCTGCATCTCCTGTCCTGGATCTACAGGTCAGGTAGGGGGGCAGGAGTCAGGCTGCAGCCTTCTTGCCTGAACTGTCCCTACATGTCTTCCCCTACCCAGGAGTCCCAGCCCCTGGCTTATTAGACATGCACTTGCTCTTTCTCATTCCCACACTTCTGCCTGCTGGCCAGGCCTTGGCTCATCTTTGGTACCTCCTGGGATGTATCCTTGTTCCCTGAAGGGGTACGATGTATTTGAGAGGAGCCTACTCCAATGGAGAGGACTGCTTAGAGCACCTCCCTTCTCCTCCTTTTCTTGGCCCCCGTATTTCCTTGAGGGTCCTCATAATGAGAGTAAAAAGCAGGCAGAGAGGCTCCCGCTCCCCCTCACCCTCACCCTGCCCTGGACCCTGCACATCCAGGTGGCCATTCTGAATATCCATCTCAGCTGTAGCCACCCGGCTACCCACCATATTTTCACCCAAAATGAGTCATATGGTCGATGAACTAGAAGGAGACTTGTTGGCAGATGCAAAAAAAGAATTACTTCTTGGGTTTCTGTAGGTGGTCAGTGACTTACACCTTTTTTCAATCCTTTAGTGGCCATGAGGTGAGAGGTGAGTCTAGCCCAACCCTGCAGCCTGGGCTTCTCCAAGGAATGCCTATCTGTGACTGAGGGGAACTTGTCTGTCCACCTCGGGACCTCAAGACAGCTCTCTGACGTCAAAGTAGTGTGAATGTTACTTATGTGGCCTCTGTCCCTGTCTGCATCAGCTCTGAGGCCCCTGCATATGCACATGCATCCAAGCTGGCTTTGGGCAGGGAATGGGTCACAGCCTTGGCTCCTGAGCTGACTGCTGCCGGCCAGGGACCAACCACTGGTTCCCATTCCCTTCAGGCCACCCCCAAACACTGAGGCCGCTCAGTAGTAGCAGCCACAGCCTGGGGTTGGGGAAGGTGTGAGGAGTCCGTGCTGCCCACCCGCAGCTTGGAGCAGCCCTGTCTAAAGGTCTCTTGTACAAGACACCTGAACCCTCAGCAGATTGGGATCACCGGGAAGAGAGCGACTGTGAATGGAGGCAGATGACCTGGCTGTGGTCTCTGATATCCAAGCTGCTCCTTTAGACCACAAACCTGGAATTTTCAAGAATTTTCCTGATATGGATAGAAAACAAGGCAGGTGGCTGTTGGCCGGGGTCTTTGTTGTGTTCCTTCTCCAGTCTCACCCTAATTGAGAGGCACAGGCTATTACTGTGCCAAGAAAGGCTGGAAAAGCAGAGACGCTGGGAATTCTCTATGGAAGCTTCAGACTTCAAGAAGGCTCTTTCTATTCCTCCCCTTGCCACAAGCAAGTGGAATGTGTGGGAGAGCTCCAAGCCCCCAGTTTGGTTTCCGAGGCCCTTGCCCTCATGCAGGGCTGTCCTGGCACTAGGGGGCGCTGACAGCAGGGCCCAGGAGGGCAGGAGAGCTGACTAGCACTGCAGTGTAAGAAAAGGCAGGGGCTTTCTTAGGTCCTGGACATCAGGCCCAAGGGAGAAAGCCCCGATGAAGGAGGAGAGCTCTTTAGTATGGGAAAGGATGACCCCTTCCCAGAGCTGAGTAACAGGCTCCATGGTCTTTGATGCAAAAAAAGCTGATGTGGCCACACTGCCAGGTGTCAAACCAGAGCCCACAAGACGCGCAGCCCCCACCCCACCCCGTGACACTGCAGGAATGTCGACAAAGGGTTTATAAGGTGAATTTGCTGCTCTTCAGGGCCAGGTGAAGCCTGAACTACTTTGTTCGTGGTTTCTCTTTACCACGAGGTTCGACTCACAACGATCCTCTGTGATAAAGCAGAGCTCCCCCTATGGGGAGCTGGGTTTCCTAGACTATAATCTCTGTGGGAAAGGGAGCTCTGGTGGCTTAGTGCTAAGGAGTTGCACTGCCAACCTAAACGCATGCAGTTTGAAACCACCAGCTGCTCCACAGGAGAAAGAGGGGAAAACCTGCTATGTGTCAACTGTGACATGACAGTACATGACAACTATATGGAAGCCCCAGCTTTCTCCCTAGGAAAAAGAACACTGGTCAAAGCCACTGGGTGGGTTTGACCTGCCACCTTTTGGCTGACAGCTGGGCATGTAACTGTCACCGTGGGTCCTCTTAACCAATCAGGCCTGGAGTGAGATGGCAGTGGACACTTCCACCTCCCAAGGGTTACCAAGTGATTGGTGACTTCCTCTCCTGTTTAAGAGCTCCCTAACATGGGTGCTAGGTCTATGTTTTGAGGTCTCT